AGGTATAGGGGTAAGGTTGGGGTAGGTGTAGTACTAGGGATAGGAGGATGATAGGGTTGCTGTAGGGTTAGGGTTAGGATTAGTTATAGGGTTATTGGTAAGGGTAGGCTTAGGGATATGTGCAGGGTTAGAGGTAGGTATGTGAAGGAGGAGGGGCACAGGTAGGGGGTATGGTAGAGGTATTGTTAGGGATAGTCTAGGGTTAGAGGTAGTGGCAGGTGTTAGGGGTAGGGCTATGTGTAGTTAGAGAAAGGCTTAGGGTGAGGGGTAGGTTTACAGGTGGGTTAGCGGTATGGCTAAGGGTAGAAGTAGAGGTATGTGTAGGGTTCGGGATAGGAATAGAGGTTGGGGTATGGTGATGGGCAGGGTTAGGGGAAAGTATAGGTGTAGTGTTAGGAGTAGGGGGTTGGGCAGGGGTAGGGGTAGATGGTGGATTAGCTGTAGTAGTAGGTGTGGGGACAGGGTTATGGGTAGGGTTAGTGGTATGGAAAGGACAGTATATGGTTAGGGGTAGGGGAAGTTGTAGGAATAGGGTTAAGGTTAGGGATAGGGTTAGGTGTAGGGATACTGGTAGTAGCAGAGTTAGTGGTAGGCCTCAGGTTATGTGTAGGGGTAGTTTTAAGGATATGGTAGGGGTAGGAGTTGGTTTAGGGGTAGGTGTAGGATTAGGATTAGTGTTAGTTATAAGGGTAGGGATAGGGTTAGGTGTATGGCTAGGGTTAGAGTTAGGGGAAGTGGAAGGCAAGGTGTAGGTGTATGTTAGGTTAGGAGTTTGAGGGTGAATGTGTAGGGGTTGGGTTATGGGTAGGCATAGGGCTAGGGGTTGGAGTAGGGTTAGGAGTAGGGGTAGAGTACAGGTAGTGGTTGGGGTACGAGTAAGATTGGGGGTATGGGTAGGGTTAGAGGTAGCATTAGAGGTAGGTGCAGTGATAGAGGTAGCCTAGGTGTAGGGTAGGGTATTGTAGTGGTAAGGTCTTATAGGTAGGGGTACTGGTAGGGGTAGGGGTAGTAGAAGGGTGAAGAGTAGAGCTAGGGATATTGTTAGGTGTAGGGTGTCGGGGAAGTGTAGGGTTAGTGATAAGTGTTAAGGTAGGGATGGGTGTAGAGGTAGGAGAACATAGGTATACTGTTAGGGTTAGGCATAGAGTAGGGTTTAAGGGTAGGAGTAGGGTTATGGTTAAAGGTAGGTTTAGGAGTAGGGTTAGGGTTAGCAGTAATGGTAGAGTTAGGTATAGGTTAAGGTGTAGCAGTAGGGCAAGGGTTAGGTGTAGACGTGGGACAAAAGGTATAAGTATGTATAGGAGTAGGGTTAGGGGTAGGGGTAGGGTTTGGGTAGGATTAGGGTTGAGGTAGGGCTAGCAGTTAGGTTAGAGGTAGGAGTAGAGATAAGGGGAGGAGTAAGGAATAGTGTAGCAGTAAGTGTTAACAGTAGGGGTAGGGGTCGGATTAGCTTTAGGTTAGGTGTTAGTGTATAAGTATGTTTAGGTGTAGGGGTCAGGGTAGTAGTAGGTGTTGAGGGAGGGTTTGGTGTGATGTAGAGGTAAGGTTAGGAGTAGGTTTTGGGTTACATGTAGCTGTAGGTGTAGGGGCAGGGGTAAGGCTAGGTGTACATGTAGGGGCAAGGGTAGGGGTAGGCTTAGTTTTAGGGTTCAGTGTACAAGTATGGGGGGCCTAGGCATAGTGTTAATGTTTCCAGTGTGGCTCTTCTGTATCTTTAGCGGTGGGAGAGAGTTTTGCGTCTTCAGGTCATTCTTAACTCTATGTAGTTGCAGCCTTGGTGTGTCCATGGAAGGAAGGGACGATCTTCCTACTTTGCAGCTTCCGCTTATTTTTTGCCTACTTGATTCTGGTCCCTCCCTACTGGAGTGTAATCCCCTTAAGGCAGGGACTCTTCGTCTACCCCTTAGATTCCCCAGAATGCAAAACAGCACCTGATCCCATAATAGGTCCTCAATATAAATGTACAGAATGAATGAGTGGACCTCAAATAACATTCATGCAACTTTTTTTTTGTTAGGATGGAAGAGTTGCAACTTCCTTCCTACTCTCAGTGCTTCATTTATCTCTGTATAACTTCTAGGAACTTGGGTTTTTTTTTTTTTTTTTAAGACTTTATTTTAGAGAGTGTGCGACTGGGCCAAGGAGGAGGGAGAGGGACAAGCAGACTCCACACTGAGCGGAGAGCCTGATGCAGGACTTGACCCCATGACCCTGAGCTGAAATCAAGAGTCGGATGCTCAACTGACTGAGCCACCACCCTGGCACCCCATAATTTGGGATTTTGTTTTGATCCCAGAAATTGGAGATAAACTTCAGTGATATTTAGCTATTACCGAGAAACTAAACTATTGTGTAAAAACAGGGCTAGATTAGATCATACATTTATTTTTATTTTTTATATATTTATTTTTTATTGGTGTTAAATTTGCCAACATATAGAATAACACCCAGTGCTCATCCAATCAAGTGCCCCCCTCAGTGCCCATCACCCAGTCACCCCAACCCCCCACCCACCTCCCTTTCTCATTCATACATTTAATTGGAATGATAATAATAACTATAGAAGGCTAAGAGAAATAGCTGTTTACTTAATTTGTATCAGGAAAAACTATCCCTCTTAAAATTGCTATGGAGGTAAAAATAGAAATTTCCTAAATATGTACATTACAGCTAATGTATGACATAAGCCAAATACTTCATATAGTTGAAGAACCAAATACTTGCCTAACTGACCCGTGGTTTCTTGATTTTCAGAGACATGTAGAAAAATCCTAAATACCACAATGCCTCACAGGGTATAAGCTTATGGGTCTTTGAATTTTTGGTTCACTGTATTTGAATTTTTGGTTCACTGTATTTATAAGTAAGTGGTCTTGTGCTCTGTAAAAATAATAGTTTTCCAAATTAATTACATTCACTTTTGAAATTTTTTAGATCTACTCACTCATAGTAGGTCAAGTGGGTCTGACTCCCAATGTGGCATATGGTTTGGGATTATGGAGAAATTCATTAAAGTTAATCTCATGTATACATGTATTGACTAGTTTAATCATTTAAAGTAATCTTTTGCTTCTTGCAGTTATTGGTGCCCATCCTGAATAATCAAGTTTGGATTTCACAAATGTGCAGTAATTCCATACTTTCCTGCAGCATGCCTGAGTGTATAAACTGTAATAAGGGATTATTCAAGGTAACAAACGATTGTTGTTTATTAAGGACAAAATAAGCCTCTTGATTTGTGTACTTGCTAATAATAGTTCTGCTTGACTTTAATGCAAACACTGCAAAATAGACAAATTCTCAGGATTCTCTGTTAAAATTTATATGTTTAGGCTAGCTAAAGCATTCGGCTATGCTTTTATATTTTTAATGTCTCTGAGAATGACTCAGAGTTTAGTGGTTAGGATCACACTCTTCACATAGGCTCTCTTGCATAGCAACAATGAAAACAGATCCAAGTTAGTGGCTCTCTTCAACTAACACAGTTAACTAAAGCAAAGACTACAGGTTTCATATCATAATTAGGGCATGCTTTAAAGAAAATCATTGTATTGCTGATAAACCTTAATAGCATGATCAGCAGTAAGGAGCTGCCTAAATAAATAAATCTGTGGGAATCCCTGGTGGCTCAGCAGTTTAGTGCCTTTGGCACAGGGTGTGATCCTGGAGTCCCGGGATCAAGTCCCACATCAGGTTCCCTGCATGGAGCCTGCTTCTCCCTCTGCCTGTGTCTCTACCTCTCTCTCTCTGTCTGTGTCTCTCATGAATAAATAAATAAAATCTTTTAAAAAAAATCTGTTATTGTTTAACACATAGAGATAGTTCTTAGGCATTGGAGCACTCCATGATGATGTAAAAAGTTCCTCTGATGTATCCTTCATACCATAGTGTAACATCACATTTTGTGCAAAAGTCCGTGTTTATACCAACATTCTATGGAGCAATCTTTAGACTAAGCTTCAGCTTAAACACATCTTTGTGGAGGTCATTAGACTGTTAACTGTTAGTTTAATTTGAATATACCTTGCTTTTTAAAAACCATATTCTCTTTAATTGCCGGGCATACTGAACACGAAATTCTTCATTTGTGCATGTGTTTAAAAGCATTTGGTTTTTTCTACACGGGAATAGCTATTTAAAGGGGAAAAAAAAACCCAAGATATTTTCATGTAGAAATAAAAAGCCAAATGCTTTTGTGTCTGAGACTTCTGAAATAGTTGACCCTGTTCAACAGCTACTTGGTCTTAAAATTTGATGTAATTAGGATCTCAGTCTCTCAAGACAATGCGGTAGCATCCCAGAATTTCCTGAGAAGGTGCACTGTCCACCCAAACAATTTTGCTGCCACTTCTACAGCTTTTGCTATGACATGTGTCTCCACTGTGGGGTTTGGGAACCTGGGGTTTGATTTTATTTTTAATATGAATTCATGCAAGGGTAGGAATTTATTTTTACCTGCAAGGGCAGGAGAACCATGGTTGTGAAATAGGTTTTGAGCATTCATCATACCAAAAAGTAAATGAAATCTAAGTCAAAACACTTCATTCTGAAAGTAAGTGTAACCTATAGTAAATGAAATGATTTACTGTTGAAATGACATAGTCTGATGAAAAAGAGTTTTGTGACCTTACAGGAAACTAGACTTCGACTACTCTATCCATTAGAAAGGTCTAATCACTGAATTTCCAATAAGACAAGTCCTTTTCTCTCCTGACAGTGTAAGAAAAGAGTTTGGGGTGTAGCAAATTACTTTTGCAAAGCTATTTTCTTTACAATGAACAAGCATAATGATAATTAACTCAAACCAATTTCAGGTGTGCATACTGATAAAAGGAAGCTATACAGGTACAGTCATCATTATGAGTCTTCCTGATTGTAGGATTTTGAAAGGTTGTCACTTGGAGGAACAGAATCTATTTAAGGAATCACACTATAACATAAATTAGCTCCACAAAGAGAAAGCAACATTAAATAAACCTGACAGTAAAAGAAATGCAGGCTGTAAACAGTTTTTTTGTTTTTGTTTTTTTAATATCTATATAAAAAATAACGAGCGATTTACAGATCTTTCTCTAATCAGAACCTCAAGTGTATATATAAAGGTACTGTACAATATATAAACATTTACAACCAGTACATCCATATTTTGCTTAGCATTCCAAGGCCACATTGCTACATCACTATAATCAGTACAGTGACAGATTACTTAGAAAGAAAAGAGCCACATCAGACTGACAACATATGACATCAAAGTTATGTCACAGTTAACAATAAAAATAGGATTTTTATCACTAATTGTGGACTATAGGGAAAATAAATCATTTCTGTGGTGATAAATTCTTAGCATGTTATCAAACCTCCTAATTTTTCTCTATTCAAGTAGTTACAATAGGTGGGTAAATATAGTTCTGGATGAAAGGGGATTTCAGAATCTCACTCTGGGAAGCATGTCTCAGCTACAAGGGCAGCTTCGGTTGTTACATTAAAGACTTTCACAGTCGGACTCTGAGAGGACAGGGCCTGGATGTAACATGTTTCACAGGAACAAGATGAACCCAAATGACAGAACAGGTGTGTTCAAATACTCCATAAAATGGTTTCGTTCCAAGATTGTTTCTTTATTCATAGTGGCTGCTTCGGGAGCTGGAAAAACCTGGATCTCTTTTATGGAGTTAAAACCAGTCTCTACCTCCCAACAAACATCTTTATTTAGATCTTTTAAAAAGAACTCCGAAAATGTGTACAAGCTCTAAGCAGATGTTTAGTCTCCCTTTCTTGTTTTTTAAATAAGTTAATGTAGATAGAAATTAAAATGAAATACGATCTAGCAAGTGCTATCTACCGCTGTGCCACGTCTGCCCTCCTGACCTGTCCGTCCTGAGCACATGTGCTGCCTCTAAACACCCGAACTTGTACAGCTGCTGCCAGAAGCGCTGGTCCTTCAGCTGGCAATGGACTGTGAAACTGTTTTGTGACCACGGTCCTCTCAGTCTGTATGCTATTTGGACTCCTCACATAGGCACCATGTAGTAACGACTAATGAATGAGTACTAGGAGGTCCAACCCAAATAGCCAGAAATAGAAACCTGGTAGCTTTTCCTTTACACGGCAGCAGGCAATATTTCCGCATGCTTCTTTCTGGTTTCATAATGAAATAACCGAAGTGAAAGGGTGACCTGAGATGCTAAGACCACATCAGGGTTGGACACGATAGCAAGAGGGGAACTCTTCATTGCCTAAAGCACTAGCTCATTTTGATCATCCAATTGTAATATTTTAAGTTACTTGAAATACCCGATCCAGCTGAATTTAAGAACCCTACGGAAGTGTCGCTATTTGACCACATTTTGTTTTTCTTTTCAGTAGTGATGTTTCGGAGTATCATTTTTAAAACTGGGCCTGGGCCATCACCAGTAGCTGTTAGAAGAGGCAGCTGCCATCATTAATGATGGGCTAACAATCCCTTCCTCTGCAAGGACGCAAATATGTCTCTCTGTAAACATGCAGCATGCTATTGAGAATATCAACTTCCAAGCCAAACCTAGTTTTTCATTACTGTGGAAATCGAGTGAGATGGATAAAACAGACATGATACAGTAGATAACTTGGCACAGATATAAAGTGAGTTGTGACCACACTGTGCAGATCAGCGTGTGTCACTTGGTGGGACACTCACGAAGATGGGCTGGGTTTAGGGCAGGGCAGCCAGCTGGGGGACAGTGGGGTCTCAGCGGTCCTGGAGGCCCTTCATGCAGCCAGGGTCACTTGATGCTCCAATTAAAATGTGTGTGTGTCAGATTTCCTGAAAAAAATGACTGTGTGTGTGTGTGTGTGTGTGTGTGTGTGTGTCTTTTTGGAGAATGACACTTCTTGGTAAGAAGACATTACAGCTTGTTTCTCTGTTTTATACCGAAGGTCATAGCCGTTTCTCGGCCACACCCGTAGTGCCTGCGGCTTTATTTGCACTTGGCACCTTCCAGGGCCCTGGAGTTATGGGTGTTTTCTTAACAGGAGACGTGCTCTCAGGCCGGACCCCTCCACTCTCCCTCGTTTTATCAGCTGCCTCCTGTTCTCTCCCTTGGGGAGCTTTGGCTTTGTTTAAAACCATCCTTTCTTCAGGGTCCTGCTTCAGCTTCTTGTCTGTTATTTTGGCATTCTCTCCCATCTTCTCTTTGCTGGAACTTGTCTCTCCAGAGGTCGCCTTCCTCCCTTTCTCCCCATCAGGTAATACTTTACTAGCAGTGGGACTAGGCTTTTTGGACGGAAGAGACTTTTCATCCGTTCTCTTGCTTTTCGTCTCTGGAGACCTGGTTCTGTTTTTTCCAGACAGGCTCTGCTTTGTGTCTTTCCTGACAACACCTGATTCTTCTTTGCCCTCGGAGGTCTGCTCTGCACCATCCCCAGCACGGCCCCCTCCTCTCTGCCCATCACACCCTAATAGTCTGGCTTCAGCGTTCGCTCGGCCTCTGCTCCCTTCAGTCCTTGGCTGCTTCTTGGGGCTTGAAGATCGTCCTCTGCTTCTTTTACAGTGGTCCTGCCCAGACTCTGCCCTGGCGCCCATCTGACCTCCTTTCCGGTCACCTTTCCTGGGGCTGAGTGATCGATTCCTGGGACTGAGTGATCGATCCCTGGGTCTCCTTGGGGGGTCAGCTGTTAGAGGAGTGGGAAGCTTGTCTGGACGTTCTTCCACATGTCGAAGGGCAGGCTTCCTGGGACTAGCAGATCGGCCTCTTGGTGTAACATCGTTTTCTACTCGGAGGAGGTTTTTCTTGTCACTCTGCCCATGAGTGCTGCTGGGTGGATCCCTTTTATTCACATTTTTTTGGAGAAAAGAGGGCTGCTTTTTATCAGACTGATTTTCATTGAAAGTGCTTTTCTTTTCAGGCACGCCGTCCTTTAATTCCTCTGTCTTTTCATATATCTGAGCTCTTGTTAAAGACTCTTCCACTCCTGGCACGGGAGATGCCTCAAAGACGGAAGGACAATGTGAAGATGGGGGACATGGTGGCTGCTCATCATAAATCACATTTGAAGACGAAGGATTAGTAACATCCCAATCACCTACAAAAAGGGATTTGGGTGGAACATTATTAAATTTTAGAATTACAAACAGGAACAATAAGTTCTGAACTGTGACAAGCTATTTGAATTGTACTAACTGCTTAAACAGCCTTATATATATGCTAAGCTCTCTCTCTCTAAGGCAGGTCATAGAGATAGCTGTACTTGTACACAAGGTGGTGGTACTACAAGTAGGTTGTTTAAATATACACAAAATAACAGTTATCATTTTTCCAATAGCATGTATAATTAGTGACATAATATATGATGTATGAATTCTTCATAAGTAAAGCCCAATAAAACTTAGAAGAAATAAGTAATAAAATTGGACCAAATTACTTGGTCCAGGAACCTTACTAATTTGGCTGTTATCAAAAGATACAGCTTATGGATATGCCAAAATCACTAATAAAGGCGACCTAGCTGTGGTAACCAGAACGAGAGGTTCATGGGCAATTGTAAATAATTTTCTGGCATTAAGCAGTCAAATTTAATGTCAAAGGAAACTGAAAAGTGCAGAAGATAGAGATGTATTTAATAGCATCATTTTTCAATTAAACAGAAAAAAAAAAAGAAGGAAGTGATTTACAAGACATGCAAATTTACCAAGTCTTTTTAAGGAAAGACCAAGAAAAGCCCTGAAAGCCTTAATGTTGCTCAGGTTTCACGTAGGAGCACAGACCGGAAGGAGCCAAACCTGAAGAAGGAAGAGAAAAAGCCTAGGACTATGTAAAAAAAAAAAAAAAAAAAAAAAATCACAGCGCAGTTAGCAAAGATGTCACTGGGAATGTGTATGGTTTACAAGCAGATGGTGGAAGATCACACAGTCAGAGAATTATAGGCTGGAAGGGGACTGCAGGAGGTCACGTCTACACCTGTCCCTCCAAAGCTTTAGGGGTGGGGCGAGGAGGGGGACTAGAAGGGACAAGTCCTGGTGGTGTGGTACTTGAGTTCTAGGCTAGTGCACTTAATTAAAAAATGATTTTCAAATCCTGTGCTATTTCAAAAACATACGGCACCAAGCTGAAGGTCGGTACAGGAGTAGGGACAAGGTCCCACGTCCAACTTCCCGACTGCGGTAGGGCGACAGTAACTGGTTTTTGACGAGTGACCAGAAAAGCCTAAAGTTCTTAGATGTTCTTCATGACATTTAAATCACTTGCTTCTGATAGCCTTTTTTTTTTTTTTTTTTACAGACACGTTTCTCTACAAAAGCAACTATGTTTTCCGTTGAAATTGCTTAGCATCTTCCATCCCAACAGAAATCATGCCCGGAGCCACTTACTTCGTGATATTATAGTAACTATGCAGTGTAACTAGTTTCAGCTGGCTCTGGTGTTTCCCTCTGAACCAGCTAGTATGGTATCTGCCCCCTTCATATAGACATCCTTTTCCTGCCATTGCCCCCTCCATAACACATGGGCAACTTTTCAGCTACAGGCGAGCTACTTCACTTACCGTGGTCAGGTATTAAGCCAGTTCCTGGCCTCAAAAGCAGAAGAACTTTATTTCCACCGGCTTGAATGAGTTCAATTGCTCGAGTATGTGTGATGCCTTGTGTAGGTTCCCCATTGATTTCAACAATCTGGTCCCCCACCTAGAGAGGGAACATTCACAGGAATGACATGTGACTCTGCATCCTTCCTTCCGCTTTGTCCACTCTGGAGCCACTCAACTTTGGCTGAGTGACCTTCTCTCCTTGGAAAGATGTTTAACTTGTACACCGTGCCATTCTACTAAGGCTGAGAGGAGTGGACAGATGACAATAGGAAGGGATGGTGTCCAGCTTTATTCACTCTGTAGAAATCCCACAGGAGAAAGTTTTCTAAGACTAGTGAATGGGATCTGGGCACCTTGAAATTGTGAATCAGATTCTGAGTTTCCCAGCAAAGGATAAACACAAAAGGTGAGGTCCCTGCAATCCACATGATACTTGAGGGTTGTAGCTGAATGATCCACCTGTGAAGGGTACTTTTCAATTTGAGCTGAATCTTGAATTTATTCTGAAACCCAGGCAGGTGGCTCCTCATCTCTGAAGCCTTTCCTGGCCTCTCGGAGAGAGGTGCCCACCCCACCTCTTTGTATAGCCCACATGTCCCGTATGTCTATGAAGCATTAGACTAAAACTCTGAAAACTTCAGCTTGGAGAATATAGTAATATGAATGCTTATTTAAAACCAGTAACTGGCTTATGCTCATGACTTTATTGAAAAATAATTTCCTCAGGAAACATAAAACTAGGAACCAGAAAAAGATGCCTCAGTACCACGGCTGTTTACTGTAAAAGCTGTTACTATCATTTTTTTAAACGGAAAATATGGATGAACCAAATTTAACTTCTGTAAAGGAGCTGAATAAAGATAAGGATGGTAATGATGTTAAAATATGTTTCAAGGTGATGAGCAAGCATAGGGTACCAGCTTCAAAAGAGAAAAAGTGAACAATGGAAAAGTACTGAAATTACAAAAAGCTCAAATATTTATGAGCTTACTAAAACCATCCCGACATAACACAGGATGACCCAATACTTATTTAACAGAGGCTGGGGGAAGAGTCTGGAACCACAGCACAAAGAACAGGGGCCAGGAAGCTGGGGGTTGTGGTCCATTCCTGCCTCCACCTCCTGCTGGCAGGGTGGTTGGTCTCAGTCTCCTCCCTGTGAAATGGGGATAACATCAGCACCCACCTCCTGAGTGCTGGGGACAATTTAATGAGAGAAAACCTGATCACACAGCAAATAGACAAATGTTACTTTTCAAGTTCTCTATTTCCCAGTCTTGCCAAAAAAGACTTCAAATGTATCAGATTTACCTGAGGCTCAAACCTCCTCTCTACACTGCAAAAAATGTCAAGTAAACTATGTAAAAAAAAAAAAAAAAGAGGAGTCTCTTAAAGAAATGGAGGATGTCAAATAAGACAGATGGATTTAACATAGAAAGCAGAAGAAAAATCTTTAAACAAAGTAAGATAATAATAGGGGCACCTGGGTGGCCCAGGTCATGATCCCCGGGGCCTGGGATCCAGTCAGAGTCAGACTCCCAGCTCAGTGGGGAATCTGATCCTCCCTCTTCCTCGGCCCCTACCCTTGGAGCACCTCTTGCTCTCTCTCTTCTTCCCTCTCAAGTAAACTCTTAAAAAAAAAAAAAAGATGGGAAAAAATTCATACACATATATTAATAAAAAAGTGTATATCTAGAATATGTAAGTGACACAAAAGTCAATACTCAGATTTCCCTAATAAGTGACTGGAGAAAAATTATTTTCATGAGGAAATATTCATAATAAATTACCACTGCATATAAAGTCCTGCTGATAATTAGAGAAATGAAAATTAAGGCAGACAGTACTGGGAGCATGCTTTGGGAGTGTCTTGCAAACATGACTGAGGTTATCATTAATTCCAGTCACATTGTTTGGCTTGAATTTACTGTCCTAATAAGCTGCCTATTTCTTCCTCTTTTAGTACAACAAATAAATTGCAATAAAGCTTGTAATTGAACAGATTTGCCACCAGGTGTCATTTTTGTTTAACTTTAAAACCACATTGTGGCAAAGGACACTAGAACCCTATCTATGGCTTTAAGATTTATGGTAGACAGGCCCTGGGTGGGGCCGGGGGGTGCGGGGAACAACAGGTTCTCTACTGGACTGTATGAAGCTGGCGATAAAAAAAAAAAATGGAGAAAATTTGAACATTCTTCAAAAATTCTGTTACTTAAAAAATTTTAAATGTGTCAAAAAAATGAGGAATACATCTTTTGATAAATAGAACCAATAACAATTTGAGTTCAGGTTTATGTTATTGAAAAATAAAATTATGGAGGACAGAGGAGACAGAAATCAAAGGGAGGAAAAATGGAGAATAGAAGAACCAAGGGAAGAAAAGAAGTAGAAAAAGGGGATAGAGAAATACTCTGTTCCTTAAAAATGTTACTATATTAACAGCCACTAAAAATTTACATCTTGTATTGAAATTACAAAATAATATTTCCAGTACATTGCTTACATTATCTTAGAAGGCCTCCAGAACCGTTACGCTTCCCCAAACAGTCAATCCAGACAAACACAGGTTGGGGCCTGACATGGAAAGCATGCGAACTGGGTCCCACTGCAGCTGTCACAGGCCAAGAGATCCCAGCAAGGGACCTAGTCTCTGAGAGACTTGGTTTTATATCAGGAAGTGGGGACAATGCCACCTCCCTTAAAGGGTTTTTTCGAGGCTAACACTAAGTGAAAACAGGTGTTGCCTGGAAGACTACAGACTCCACATTTTCTTCTGTGTCTCTCATAAATAAGTAAATAAAAATCTTAAAAAAAAAACCACCCAGATTTAAAATATACCCAAATTGATTTTTAAAAAAGAAGGGGAAGAAAAAGGAATAATCTCTGTCTACTGAAATCCTACCTACTTTGGGGTGCCTGGGTGACTCAGTCCATTAAGCATCTATCTGCCTTGGGCTTAGGTCATGATCCTGAGGTTCTGAGATTAAGCCCCATGTCAGACTCCCTGCTCAGTGGGGACTCTGCTTCTCCCTCTCCCTCTACTTGTGCTCTCTCATTTGGACTCTCTCTCTCTAATAGATAAATAAAATATTAAACAAAAAAAAAAAAGAAAGAAAAATCCCACCCACTTTCCCATGACACCCATTCTATGAAATCTGCACTCATACCTCTTTTGAACTTGTGCACAAATCTGGTCATTTTGAAGAGGGTGGTGTCTTTATTTGTTTTAGGGTCACCCTTGCTCCCAGCTCATTCAGTATTCATTCATAAAAGCTTGGGGTAAAGCAAACACTCAACACATGTTTACCAAATGAGTAATGGGAGTAGGAGCAGTGATATGGAAAATTCAAAGCTGCAATCACCTGGAAGCCTGCTTTTTCCAAACATTATTAGAATGTATCATCTGATTTATTTAAAAAAAAATCTTCAAAAAAAAATCTTCACTGCCACCTATTCGGAAGGGAGGAAATCCAAAGTTCTCTTGAGCAGCAGGGGGAAGGCTATCTAGAATTTAAAATTTCTAATGTATCACCTAACAATATCAGTGAACTATTTTTTAAAAATTGAGGCCAGCACACATCCTCTATGTGAGATTCCTCCTGAAGAAACATTCAGAGGAGGGGGGAAATACCTGTGGTGCAGATCTGCAGACAATCTGGTCTGCAGGGCCCTGGACAAAGCTACAGCATTCCAGAGTTGAGAACACCTATGATGGACCATTACCCATGTGAATTCTAGTCTTTCGATACTAGTAAAAGTTGGAAGAGTCATGCTTTTGGATTTCTGGCTACCTCTGTAGGTGGCTAAAAAAATCCTTAGGCTATTATTTCTGGGAAGAGGTTGAAGATTGTTTTATCCTGGCTTTTCCAAGACTTTTAATAAGATGAAAGGATATTTTATTTATGAATCCATTTGCCCTCAAACATTGATGGTATAAGTAAAAAATAAGTTTCCTTATCATCCAAAGTCAAGAAGGTAAGAACAGTGTCACTGTGGTACTGCCTAGCGCACCAGAGCACCTGGCAACATGAAATTGCCAGGCATCAGAAGGTGAAACAATGAGCAGCTGCTTTTAGATTTAGTGACCAAAACCTCTGATGCTTAGCTTTGGGAGGTTTCCGCTTTCTTTTTGATCAACTATTTTCAGTAGTTTCCAGTTGGGAGCCAGAGCCAAAGGCTGCGGAAGGAAACCAACTCACGTGAATTCTGCCGTCTTTGATGGCGGGGCCCTCCTCAGCAAGACGCAGGATGAACAGCCCCATGTTGTACTCCTTCCCCCGCGGAGGCTGAACCCGAAGCCCCGGGGGCCTCTCTCCAGCTCCACTGGGTGACAACCAAGGCTCTGGGAGAGGAAGAAGCATAAGGAAAACAACTTTTCATGGACTATTGACAGTTGGAAGAAAGACTACTTTTGGAGCTGGGAGATATGATTTTATACTTTCATTATGCATTTCTGTATCTTAAGAAAGGAATGTAGGTTTTGGTTGAAAATCTACTTCTTTATAGATGCAACCTAAATTAGTCTGAAGATCATGTTATCTCTACTGGTTAGTCAATGTGCAACAGAACAATCAGAGAACAGAATTTAGGGAAATGCTTCCTTTATGGAGATTTTGACTAATTGTTCTGAAAAAAGAAAAAAAGCACACCCCCCCCCCCACCCTACTTTGATGAGCTCAAACACTGCTATTTCTAAGTACTGGACCCAGTGGGCTCATTTCTCCAACTATGGGGTATACTTTTGCACTGACATTCTCTTATGGAAGCTAACAGAATGCCAAACACACAGCAAGTCTTCAGGAGTTGTTAATCTTGGGAACTAATGTTATCTGAGTTGGTCTGCAGTAAAAATTCACCAGTGTCAGGGATTTAGTAACTGAAAATAACAGTCTGCCTCTTGGGGGCAGAAAGAGGGGCATCTGTGCACCTGATCATGCCGGCTGCCTACGACTGAAATCATCGCCGTTTCGGGCTGAGAAAGGTGCTTGTGGTCAGACCACGAATGTCTGTAAGACATGGAGACGTCTTTCCCAATGTCACCTTCTAGAGCACTCCTACAAGAGAGAAATCCAGTCACTCTCTGAGAAAATGGAAACAGTTTTAAAATAAATGCAGATGAATGTCTTTCCAAAGCCGAGGCTGGCCATTCTCCTGACAAACTGCTGTAGGGGCAGACCACCTCTAGGACCAGAGACTCTAGGGCACAGCTGGTCATTCACTCCAGCACCAAGGCGGTCAACACCCCACATTGTTTTGGTCGGGTTCAGTTTTGGTCTCAAGGGCGTCTGGGTGCAGTTTATGTCAAGGAAAACTGCACTCAAGTAACTTGAACCAGAGGGCAGATAAGCTGACCTTGTCAGCAGCCCCGGTGCTCACAAAGATGCTGAAGTTCTGGAAATCTAGTTTTTGTTCCATGGCTGGTATTTTCAACAAAAGAGGAAAGAAGTAAGTATAAATGCTGCTCTGGTCTGCTCAGGTCATCTGGATTTGGGGCTTCCCTACCAAAATGATGAGGACGAAGGTAGGCAGAGCTGGATGCTGCTGCCACTTTTTTTGTTGTTATTCCTAATCCCCACTCGTCAGGCATGATTGGATAATTATGCTGCACCCTAGGAGGAGGATGGGAGGAGGGGGGAGGTTCTGAGGGAGTGTAGGGCGTAGGGATGTATCTGAAGGTGGAAAATCCAAGAGTTCTCATTTTGACCTCACCAGCTGGCTCCTGGGCACCTGAATGGATACATGGGTGGTGGTGGAGAGATGAGAGAAAAAAGCCCAGACCTGGGGAGAGCAGCCTCACCTGTCCCCAGGTAAATGGTTGGCCTGGGACTGTCCCATCGGTCTGTGATGCATGGCTGGGCTTTGCCTGGCTGAGTTTGTTCCCGATGGGGGGCCATGATGCTCTGTTCAGATGAGAAAACAATAAAAATAAGAATTTGTACATAAAAATATAAAGGCCAAGTGGTTTACAAAAGTGAGATAGTAACAAATGTTTAAAGCTTTATACTGACTTTCATGACTTCAGCATGAACAGCGCTGCTCTCAGCTGTCTGGAATTGGAACATTAACATTTTTTTCCCCTGTGGCTTTGATTGATGCCTGTGTTTGAAGGGAACAAGCATCATATCTTACTGCACACACTTCCCTCTTTCACCCTCTTTTGGTCACCCATATGACATGAAAATCAGAAATGTACACACTCAACAATATCATCTAGAGGACAGAGTTCCAGGAACTGTCAGCCTATCCTATGGGCTTCCAGAGCACACACCCCGCTACTGGTAAACAACTCTAGATGACAAAGCTCAGTCTCAGGATTGGTGGAGAACAGAAGCCAGTCTGCATCCACACAGATCTTTGAATGTGCATCTTTAATATTGGAGCAATTATTTTGCCTGACACAAATACCAAAGACAAACTTATAGAACCATTCTGAGTGTTGACAAATGTTTATGAAGACTTCACTGCTTCTGTACTCTGAGAGCACAAATGCAGGGGGAGGGAGTTATCATTTCTGTCTGTATCATCTCAGCACCAGCCCCAGTCCTCCTTGAAGGCAGATCCCATAATTAAAAATGGTAGTAACTGCCTGCATGGAGATGGCAACTCATGGGTTGTAACAGTTAAGAGAGACTTTTAAGGCTATCACTTTCATATTTGTAAAGCTGAAACTTGTGAATTTTTTACCTTGTCCATATATTAAACATAGGATATTTAAAATATCAGAGAGAGAGGGAGCATAGCTCAGTAAATAGGATGATGAACTCTGCGGCAAGACTGACAAGGGATAAGCCCTGTGTGTTCTTGAGGAAATTACTTATATTCTCTGTGCTTCTAATCATCTCATCCATAAAAGGGAATTATGACATATTAGATAAAGGGCTAGTATCCAAAATCTATAAAGAACTTATTAAACTCAACATCCAAAGAACAAGTAATCCAGTCAAGAAATGGGCAGAAGACATGAACAGACGTTTCTCCAAAGAAGACACTCAAATGGCCAACAGACACCTGAGAAAATGCTTTGCATCACTTGCCATCAAGGAAATACAAATCAAAACCACAATGAGATACCACCTCACACCAGTCAGAATGGCTAAAATGAACAAGTCAGGAAACAGATGTTGGAAAGGATGTGGAGAAAGGGGAACCTTCTTACATTGGAATGCAAGTTGGTGCAGCCACTCTGGAAAACAGTGTGGAGGTTCCTCAAGAAGTTGAAAATAGAGCTACCCTAGCCCAGCAATGGCACTATTGAGCAGCTATCCCAGAGATAGAGATGCAGTGATCCAAAGGGGCCTGCACCCCAATGTTCATAGCAGCAATGTCCACAACAGCCAAACTATGGAAAGAGCCCAGATGTCCATCGACAGATGAATGAATAAAAAAATGTCATATATATACACAATGGAATATTACACAGCCATCAAAAATGGAAATCTTGTTATTTGCAATGATGTGGATGGAACTAGAGGGCACTATGCTGAGTGAAATAAGTCAGAGAAAGACAATTATCCTATCATCTCACTCATATGTGGAATTTAAAAAACAAAGCAGAGAATCATAGGGGAAGGGAGGGAAAAACATGACAAAATCAGAGAGAGAGAGAGACATAGCATAAGAGACTCTTAACCATAGGACATAAACTGAGGACTGCTGGAAGGGAGGGGAAGGGGATGGGGTAACTGGGTGATGGGCATTAAGGACCCCTGAGGTAGTAAGCACTGGGTATTATATAAGACTGATGAATCAGAGCCAGCTCAATGGGTTGAGGAGAAGATGGCGGAGGAATAGAGATCCTCACCTCACCTGGCCCCACCAACTTACCTAGATTACTTTTAAACCATCCTGAAAACCTATGAATTCAACCTGAGATTTAAAAAGAGAACAGCCAGAACACTATAGAGAGAAGGGTTTTTGCTTCTAATAAGGTAGAAAGGCGGAAACAAAAAAAAAAAAAAAGAAAAGAATCAAGTGGACAAGAGGCCCCGCAAGGAGCCGGGCTAAGGCTGCAGCGAGAGCCTCCGGGACTGGAAGGCCCAGCCCCCAAGATGCGGGAACTTTAAAAAATCCGCCCCAGATTCTTCCCAGAAGGAAAGGTGCTCAGCAGGGAAATCGCGCAGAACCGCAGGAGGAGCAGGGACTCCTCCAGGCTCCTGGAGTCACTAACAGAGGAAGTGTGCCCCCGGGGAGGGCGCACCGCACACGGCGGGCTGATCTCGGTAAAGGGCTGGAGCGCGCCCGGCGGGGCCTCGGGGGGAAGCCGGGGGTCAGGCGGTGGCTCTGGATGCAGGGGTTGCGCCCCAGCAGCACAGGCCCCGGATCCCAGGCCGCCGAGCGGACACAGCCCAGGATCCTGCACTCCCCCTGGGGAAAGGCGGAGGTGGGGAGGGCCCAGGACAGCAAAGACTCTCCTGCCTCTGGGTGCCCCCAAGCTGTGCAGGTCAGCGCCCCCTGCCACCTGGGGGCACCTAGGCCAGTGCGGAATGGGAGACTGTGTTCCTTACTGGGGGAGCTGATTCCAGGGCTGGAGAGCTGGCTGACGCCAGTGTTGTTCCTCCTTGTGTCACCCTGTGCCTGGGAGGGGTGGGGCCACCAGGGGACAGAGGCCTCACGGGGTAAACAGCTCCCCCTGAGCCTGGCACCCAGCAGGGGGCCGGGCAGCTCCCCCAGGTGCACACACCTGAGAATCAGCATAGCAGCCCCTCCCCCAGAAGACCTTCTGGAAGGATGGGGTAAGAGCAAGTTCTTGATCAAGCAGTGCTGGAAAGCTCCAGGGGAAGTCAAGAGATGTACAATATACAGAACCAGAGGGTACCCCTCCTATTTTTTTTCTTCCTTTTTCCAGTACAACTCATTTTTATATCAGACTGTAAATTTCCAATTTTTTTCTCTTTTCCACCATAACTACAATATTTTACTACCTTTTCATTTTTAAATTTCTTCCTTTTTGACTTTCATATTTCTACAATTACAGGTCCTAGATATATTTTCCACTTTTAGATTCCCTTCAACATACTCAACTTAATTTTGGGAGATATAAAAGATATGTTTTTTGTTTTGTGTTTTTTGTTTTCTCTGCCTCATTCTGTTCTAAATGGGGAAGGGATTAACACATTCTAAAACATGACCAGCCTGCACTAAGAACCAAGTGGTATACCGTGCTGGTTTGTTCTGTGAGATTCCTCATTCCCATTCTGCCCCGCTCTTTTATCTCATTTATGTTTTGGTGGTCAGTGTTGGGGTTCTGTACAAGTATTGCTGGTTTATATAAATTTGACACTGAACATCTTCTAACATTCAGAACTTAATATACTAGAAACAAGAGGATCACCCTCTAGAACTCCTCAGGTAGAATATATTCTCCCTCCACTACAACTATGTCACCACCACCATCTCCCAATCAGCAACCCCCTTTTTTTCTTCTCCTTGTTCTTTTTTTCTTTCTTTTTCTCTTCTTCTTTGGGATTCTTGGCCTTTTATTTTTTACTGCTTTGTTTTAAATTTTGTTTTTCACTTTAGTAGTCCTTTTGTGTTATATCGTTCTGATCTTTGTTTTCAATTTCTGGTCTCTGACTTCGGCAGAATCATCTAGGGTGAAAATTTACCTAGGTCATGATTCTTGACTCAGCCCACTCATACAGCCACTCTGCACTGAGCAAAATGACTAGAAAGGAGAACTCACCACAAAAGAAAGAATCAGAAGCAGTACTCTCTGCCACAGACTTACAGAATTTGGATTACAATTCGATGTCAGAAAGCCAATTCAGAAGCACAATTAAAAAGCTACTGGTGGCTCTGGAAAAAGGCATAAAGGACTCAAGAGACTTCATGACTGCAGAATTCAGATCTAATCAGGCCGAAATTAAAAATCAATTAAATGAGATGCAATCCAAACTGGAGGTCCTAACAACGAGGCTTACTGAGGTAGAAGAAAGAGTGAGTGACATAGAAAACAAGTTGATGGCAAGGAAGGAAGCTGAGGAAAAAAGAGAAAAACAATTAAAGGACCATGAGGAAAGGTTGAGGGAAATGATAGCCTCAGAAGGAAAAATCTACATTTAATTGGGGTTCCAGAGAGCGCCAAGAGGGCTAGAGGGCCAGAAAGCATATTTGAACAAATCATAGCTGAGAACTTCCCTAACTTGGGAAGGGAAACAGGCATTCAGGTCCAGGAGACAGAGAGGTCCCATCCCAAAATCAATAAAAACTGCTCAACACCTTGACATTTCATAGTGAAACTTGCAAATTCCAAAGAGAAAGAGAAAATCCTTAAAGCTGCAAGAGATAAGAGATCCCTAACATATATGGGTAGAAATATGAGATTAACAGCAGACCTCTCCACAGAGACCTGGCAGGCCAGAAAGGGCTGGCAGGATATATTCAGGGTCCTAAAAGAGAAGAACATGCAGCCAAGAATACTTTATCCAGCAAGGCTCTCATTCAGAATAGAAGGAGAGATAAAGAGCTTCCAAGATAGGCAGAAACTGAACGAATATGTGACCAGCAAACCAGCTCTGCAAGAAATATTAAAGGGGATCCTGTAAAAGAAAGAAGAAGCCAAAAGAAATAATCCACAAAAAAGAGACTGAATAGGTATTACAATGACACTAAATTCATATCTTTCAATAGTAACTCTGAACATGAATGGGCTAAATGATCCCATCAAAAGACGCAGGGTTTCAGACTGGATAAAAAGCAAGACCCATCTATTTGCTGTCTACAAGAGACTCATTTGAGACCTAAGACACATCCTGCCTGAAACTGAAAGACTGGAGAACCATTTACCATTCAAATGGTGTTCAAAAGAAAGCAGGGGTAGCAATTCTCATATTAGATAAAGTTTATACCAAAGACTGTAGTAAGAGATGAAGAGGGACACTATATCATACTTAAAGGGTCT